TAACGGAAGCCCAGGCCGAGATATCACCACCCAATAACGCCTTGTGTGAGTCTTCAAGGGAAGAACACGACAATAAGGGTGCAACAGCAAAAGTTTTTTTTAGTATGATAGGTACAAAATATTTAGAGCAACGAACGTATGTAAGATAGGTCCACAAATCAATCAGCTCCTCGCCTGACGTAGTCGCCGGTACTATTGGCTGGTGACTCAGTGACTGAATGTAGCTTGAAATTTAAATTATCGATTGATAGACAGCCTTTGTACGTTCTCCCGTTTAGGCCGACCGATAGCCCGCTTTTAGTGCGGCTTTTGCTTGCAGGCTTACTGCTTGCTAAGGCTGTTCGTTAGGCCGTCCTAATAGTTCTGCTTTGGGGCTCACTCTCTAGCTCCGCCAGTAGCCGCACAGCAGGTAGTATTATAGGCAGAGAAATCGCATTCTCACAGGAAAACCCGGATGTCTTACATCATCCCCACGTGAATATGCGAAATTTGGTTACCTCATATTCCCATCTGTTAAACTTACTGCTTTTTACTCAACTACTGATAAAATTATAAGACTTACTAAATCTTTATATCTAGTTGATTCTGGAGAAGGTTGTCTCCTATTAGGCAGGAAATGTTGTATAAATCCTAAGCTAGAACTAGACTCTAATACTAGTATGAATACTGCTATCACTCAGTTACACTGGTAGTAAGCGGTAGTATAAATAGTAGTAGCAGTAGTAGCAATATCTGAATCGGTCTCATCAGTCGTTCTGAACATCTGCTGAAGGTGAGTGAGGGTAGGTAGTGTAGATGGAGATTGTCAATCTTGCACATCATTTCGCGTTGATGCAATCGCCAGGAGCTGCTGATGGGCGCCAACCACTGCATCATGGCAGCGGCCGCAACCTCCACCTCCTCCTCAACAGTGTGTTGGTCAGCCGGTAGGGTGCGTAGGTCTGTGCGCAGCTTAGCCGGACTTAAAAGCCCTAGGTCGTGGCCTGCCATCAGACCGGTTACATTATCAATCCAGTCCAGGTGGATTTTCCTCTCCCACCGTTGAACTTTCGTTCCTTTGGCCTTATCAGCCATGTGTTGAAAGAGTGACCAGTGTTTTTCAAAAATCAGGATGCACGCCTTACACCAATACATCTGCCCCGACTCGAGAGCAGCCTTTGACTTAACGCATTTCCCGTGATCCCCCTCCTTCTCGAGGAAGCATTCAAAGTAATGGTCTTTCAGCAGATTGCAGTAGCTTTCGTTTCCACGCGATCCAGCACACACTTGCAGGACCCGCAGTTTTAAAAGTGTAACTTTTTAATTTCCCCAGAAATGCATGTCTAACTTATAGTAAATCATTAAAATTAAGAGTCCGCAGGCGCAGGCTGAAATTGATGCAAATATCTGGGCCAAAGTCCACCGCTGGGGAGCCTACTGATGAGCCGAACACCTCGCAGCTGTACCATGCAGCGATAAAATATCGCTGAAATACGTGTCTGGCTTTCAACTAGTGCCTCGGCTGTCAGTATATTAAATAATTGCGTAAGTAAAGTACACTATTTACGAGGGAGGTCCTCGTTCTGTGAGAAGAGTACCTTTAAATGAGAAAATGACAGAGCTGAAAAAGGGTCCACTGCCGTTAATTTCCTAAGCAACTTGGCGTGACTACAATTAATCCAGCTGCCTCTCCTGAGAACTTCAACAAAGCATCTCAACCAGAAGGGAAGTGGTTCTGGAGACTGTAGTGCTCTAGGTACAAATGCAGCTTAGACCCCTACAAACCAGCAGATATTCCATTCAGAATAACATTGCTGAAACAGCCGAGCGAGACTGAATTGCCATTTATCTCGTTGATGAATGTCCATTGACCGCTAATGGAACTCACTTACCCCGCTCCGCCTTTGCCTTGTGCCTCTTTTCTCAGGCCCTGACGGCAGCTGTGGCGGCTAGGGGTATATGCAGATGTGTGAGGCACCACTTTGGCCTGGGCATGACTGGCTAATGATGGCTAATGGGCCAGAAATTTCCATTCCAATCTCCCTTGCTACTACAGCTGCCGGCAGGGCCCGAGAAATGACACTCAAGGCAAAGGCGGAGCGGGATAAGTGAGTTCCGTTAGCGGTCAGTGGACGTTCATCAGCGCGATAAATGGCAGTTCCAGTCTCGCTCGGTGTTTTCAGAAATGCTATTCTGGATTGAATATCGGCTGGTTTTTAGGAGTATAAGCTGCGCTTGTACTTAGAGCTCGATGTGCTTGTAGCTGCCTGACTGGT